GGGAGGGGAGGGGAGGGAAGAGTGGGAGACAGGACAGCTCTAGGGGGCATTTAGAATCAGTCTCAGCTGGCCTGTGTTTTAGAATAGAGCCCTTTAGTGGGAGCCCTAACTAACCATCACCATGTAACCAAGTGGTCTGATGAGCCTTTTACCCACCCACAATCCTAGATACCTACTCCCTAACATTCTTATTGGAACTGAAGACTCTGTGCTGTACCTGTGCTATCTGAGGGGCCCGGATTTCTTTATGACTCCCTCATCTGGTTCATAGAAGAACCTTTCATGGGGCTATACCTGCTTCCAGAATTTCTAAGGGCCTCTCTGATCTAAGATTTGCATTCCTACATGTCACCTCAGGCTTCTTAGACGAACCCTTTGCATGTAGATGTACTCCAAAGTGAAGTAAAATTCACTTTGTCCTTTGGAATTGATGATTTAAAAAAAAATTTATTGATTGATTTGAGAAAGAGAAATATCAATTTGTTGTTCCACTTATTTATGCATTCATTGGTTGATTCTTATACTAGGGTATATGCCTTGACTGGGGATCAAATCCAGAACCTTGGTGTATCAGGATGATGCTCTAACCATCTGAGCTACCCGGCCAGGGCTGAACTTGATTTTGACTGCAGACATCTCCCTGATAGGAGGTGCCTCTTTTGCTTCAGTTCATTTCCAATGCTCTCTCAGCCCCAACACCGCCCTCCTAACAGCTTGAGCTTGCTTCCCCACCAGGAGTTCCCAAGTGCTTGAGGCTCTGAGAAACTGTCAATTATGATCATTAAACAAAATGTGCAACTGGGACACTGAGGATGTGGTCAAAAGTGGAGCCTCTTTCCTAACCCAAAGAAGGGAGATAAATTGTGCCAGGAGTAGATACCAACTGTCTGTTTGTGGCAGGATAGTAAGAAGCTAGGAAAATTCCTTGACGCGCAAAATAAGGGAAATTGAGACAAAACAATTAAACAAGGCCAAACTATTTGAGCAATTTACAGCCAATGAATCACAAAGTTTTAATTTCCCCAACCAAGGACACCTAATAGCAAATGGTTTACACATTCTAGACCAGGGGTGGGCAAACTTTTTGACTCGAGGGCCACAATGGGTTCTTAAACTGGACCGGAGGGCCGGAACAAAAGCATGGATGGAGTGTTTGTGTGAACTAATATAAATTCAAAGTAAACATCATTACATAAAAGGGTACGGTCTTTTTTTTTTTTTAGTTTTATTCATTTGAAATGGGCCGGATCCAGCCCGCAGGCCGTAGTTTGCCCACGGCTGTTCTAGACAGTGCCCAGATAGAACGGCCTGGTCCCAGACCCTCTTCGATGACATTCTTTGAAAATAAATCTATCCAGAAAATAACCCCTGACATCTCTATATATACATTTTAAAAAATCTTTATTGTTGAAAGTATTATGTATGTTCCCTTTTTCTCCATCGACCCCTTCTAGCCCACCCCCTGCCTCAGGTCTCTATATGTACATTCTGATGAATTAACATATTGAACACACCTGGAAAGCTAATGAATATTCTGGTTAAGACCCTCTCCTGAGACCTCCCCTAGGATTCTGGCCAGCCAAAGAGAGATTAAAGCCTCAAGACAAAAGACCGATGGCAAGCTCTAGCTAGAGTACGGCCACACCTTGTATCTCTGCTCTCTTTCTCCTAAATTCTAAAGGACCCCACGAGACTTGCAACTAGGGGAGTTGTGGGCAGTGGCAGCTTATCCCACGCTTACTCCCTGAACCTGTCTCCAAGGCCCCCTTTTCCTCTGACTTTCTCTCTCCTGTTGCTTCTTCTACCTTAAGCCCTTCCTTTGTTCCGCTGTCCCCAGCTTAAATAAACATACTCTCAAAATCACCTGGACTTGTTTGTGAAATCTTTCCTGCATGAAATCAAGAACCCATACACTACTGGCTGACCTGAGACAGACCCACGCCAGGCCTGGTTCCTGGTTCCTCAATGTAAAAAAATAGTGCATAAGAAGTAATGACTAACTCTAACAGGAAATTTTATAAGAATTCTTAGATACTGAAACATTCTTCCTTACCAATTCAAAATTAGATCAGAAAATGAAAATAATTTTTCTTTGTATTTGTTAGCCTGTCTAAGATTAAAAACTGAAAGCCCAAGCCTACATGTGTGGGACTTTTTCATAGCAAAATAGAAAGAAAGTACCTGGAAGGCAATCCAAATAAAATCATTGAAAAAGAAGTCATGCTGACATATCTGCTGCGGAACTGTTCATCAGAATGTTTAGACCGGATCCAAGAATGTCAATCCACTGGCTCGCATACTGATTATTTTGGGACCGGACACAGAATTCAGAAGGAAAAATATAAGATTAGCACTCAAAGAAACTGCCAATTCTAAATTTAAAGATATTAGCAAATGTACTCCGCATTTCTTTTATCAAAAAAAGTCAAAATACAGTTTTGTATTTAATATGAACAGTTTAAAGTGTCTAAAATAAATATCAGTTATTTCAGAATAAAAAATATTAAGAACCATAAGGTGTTAGGTCTTAGAAGAGGAAAGAAGGAAGAATTCAAGAGCTCTTGGGGAAGAAAATGATACTGGATTTTCCCTGAGCCTGGACCAAAGACAGAGAGACTTGAAGAAGAGGAAGCGAGAGATGACATGTGGGAAGGGAGGGTGAGGGGGTTGATGCTTCCCCAAAGACCTGGGTTTTCCAGTAAAGGAAGGGCAAGAAACTACTTTTAAAAAATATATTTTATTGATTGATTTTAGAGAGAGGAAGGGAGAGAAGAAGACATCAATTTGTTATTCCACTTATTTATGCACTCATTGGTTGATTCTTTTATGTGCTCTGTCCGCACCTCACCCTTGATACCTTGGCGCTCTGGACAATGCTCTAACCAACTCAGCTATCCAGCCAGGGCTGAGAAACCACTCTGTTTCCCTCACTTGACTATAGATTTTGCTAGGGCAGCGAATGGATCTGTTTTATCCCCTACTGTAAAACCCCTCACCCAGGACAGTGCATGGCATATTGTTGATTCTCAATTAATATTTGTTAAATAAAATTAATGAGTGTGGGCATAGGGACTTAGAAGAGTGGGAAATGCTGGGAATGGCTTTGTTAGTAGTAAACAAGAAATGAATAATGGGGTTACTAATTTGAGGTTAGGTGGCATGCACTTAAAGCGAATCATTTTTCTGAAGTTCAGAAGCAAGAACAGAAAAACAGACAGATGGGAACTGACATGACCAAGAGAGCAGAATGGAAAAGGGGTAAGAGGGTCTGATATGCACGTGAGAGCAGTGGAGGCTAGGCTGAAAATGGGGTCAAGGGTGGAGACAGAATGAAGGCAGCAATAGACTGTCAAGGTCAGGAGATTACAAGTACTTCTGAGGGCTTTAGGACAAAGAACCTCTTTAAAACATCAGTGTAGCATATAGCTTTGTAACAGGCTAAGCATCCAACTCAAATTTTTACTCTAAATTATGTGACTATTCAGACGTGGACTGTGATTTGTTTTTCTTTGTAGCCCGGTTTGTTAATTAAATGAATTTTAAAAAGGAGGGGAAAAGGAAGGTAATTAAAGACATGATTGACATGTCTTATGTCATTTAAATTATGAGCTATTCAGATCTTTATGCACATATAAACGTCTATAAATACTTGGTATATATATTAATACTCACAAATCCATATTCCATCACAAACACCTGCAGTTATTTTGTGCAATATGGATTAATAACAATGATGGAAACATCTATCAGTTATTTGAGTTGTGTTCTATCTTCTATGCTGTAGGATGGAGCCAAGATCTTGTAAATACTGGGCTTGAGGACCCAGGGAACAAGCTGGAGATTTGGAGTTACTGAGGGCAGAGAACTAGAACCGAATTCCTGGGCATGGGCACCTTGTCCAGGATCAAGAACCAGGGGACTAGCCAGGTCGAAGGGAGGGACAAATGAGCAGGTAGTCAAAATCCAGAATTACTGTGTGTTTGCCTCTTTGTAAGAACCAAAAGTCAAATTCTCTGCTAAGACCCTTTAGCCTTTTAAGTTCTTTGCCTTCAGTATCAAATGTACTTTCCCTTCTAGGATTTCCTATTTAAAAGATGAGTTTTTTTAATGAATTTTCTTATCGCCTCTTGTTGAAATGTGTTCTTTTTATTTTGTTTTAAATTTTTTCATGCCATTTATTTTTCAAATACACATATTTAGGTTTCTCAGGCTGGAAAATTTTCACTTGTGAAAAATAAATGCAAAGGTACATGAGAAGTCTAGTAAAGAAAATATAGTGACTCATTGTTAAATGGGAGTGAGGTGGGAGTGGAGATTGAAAGGAGAAGAGAATTAAAGGAACTTCCCCCCTCCTCCAGATTTCCTAATCTTCAAAATGTAATATTTCAAGGGACTTCATTGTTCATTTTGAAGGAAAACAAAAAACTCTACACTCATTTTCATATTGCGTTTATAAGTCAGTAATATTAAGATGGAAACAAAGGAAATACCTCTTTATGACTGATCATCTACTTTAGTCATCCAAATCCTTGAATCTGATTGCACTGCAGATTTGTATGTCTGAAAATAGAATATCTCAAGTATTGTTTTGAAATCTCAAAATGCTTGCTATTAAATTATTCCTCTTCTGTTTAACTCTGAAACACAAAGGAGATAACATAAAAGAGCTTGTGTGATGTATGGAACAACAATATACAAAATCATCTGGATTAGGCACCTTCCTCCTCTTGGTAAAAAATATGTGGTAACACAACTTTAGTGTGTGGGAATTTTTATTTGAACAAAGCCATCTCAAAATCACAGCCACAGAGTAATTGTTCAGTTTTCCTCTCATGGCCTTGAGACATAGTGGTTAAAAGTTTTGCTTTTATCACAGGGTATAAAACCCCTAAGAAACTATTTGAAATTGAATACAGATCTCTGGCCCTGAGACTTCAGATATTTTTCTCCCTTGCTTAGTTATCCAACTATTTTAAAAATCTTATTCTCTTTGATCACTGATAGGAATGTTGGCTTGGCACAGTCATTTTAGCTCCACACTTTGAAAAACTCCCAAGTATGAATGTCAACAAGTTAACCAAGGGTTCTAAATCTCCCCCCCGCCCCCCCCCCCCCCCATCCCCATCCCCAACTATCATTTAATACATTCAAGGTATGACATGTCATCTCATGCCCATCTTTTTAGATCACATAGACTTTCAATTAGCCATTTTGGATTCTGACCACATTTGCTAGGAAATAACTGTTTAAATGTGTCTTCTAATACATTTCTGATGGGATTCCCCTGGCAAAGGTAGTTGCAATTTTTAAAACTGAAACCATCCTAGAAATAGACTTGTTTTTGGAAATTGCTGATGAGTTTCCTAGCTAGCATACATGGAGCTAAAGTGACAATTCCACTGAAGAGAATAAATGGCAGAAAAGAAGGACGAAGGTAGCACTCCACCAAACAGGCTGTTCACTTCCAGCAGGAGTTAGTTAATATCACATTGCCTCTTCCCACTGTTCTCTCTCTGCTTAAATGTTTTGTCTTCTTACTGTTTCAGTGCTGAGATCCTGCCAAAAATATTAAACTCAATTTGAAAGGAAATGGAAAATATAAAAATAAAACTTCAAAAAATGTTATTACAGGGAGGAATAATTTTCTTTAAAATTCTATTGTTCTATGATACTCCACCTTCAAATAAAAGCCAGTGAAACCAATATCCACTCATCTGAAAATAACACTTTTGATATTTACTGAGCTATTACTATGTGCCAGGCACTCTGCTAAATGCTTTATAGTTAGTATTTTATCTAATTCTCACAGAAATCCCAAGAAAGAGGTACTTTTATTGCTCTCATTGTAAAGATGAGGAAACAGATGTAATGGGACCTTGATCTATGAGCATTCATCTCTCTGTAACAGGCAGACCTTGGGGATATTGAGGTTGCCACAATAAAGCAAATATTGCAATAAAGCAAGTCACAATTGTTTTAGTTTTTCAGGGCATATAAAAGTTAGCATGTTTACATTATTTTCAACTGGTATTTTCAAAAACTAGCAAGAATTTTTAAAACATGCAATACCTGACTATTTAGTGGGACACTGGTCTCTTTTCCCTTATATTGTCAAATAAAAATAATGGCAACAGTCAACACAACAATAGTCATCCAGTGTGAATGCTGTCTTGAAGCATAAATAAACAGTTCATATAATAGAGTTGCATCTTGTTGGTCACGTCGCATTATAAGGTTGTGTCTGGTTAATTAATTCTTGGTACCAAAAATCCTTATATACCAGCATAGGCACCTAATTTTCTATAAAGTCACTTTGGAGCAAAAAGGGTAGGTAATTACTATTGTAATTTTTAAGGAAATCAATCAAAATTATACTTTTGGGTCAGATCAGCAATATATATATATATATATATATATATATATATATATGCTGCAGAATTTTAGTAAGTAGTTTATGTGTGCCATGAGATAAAAACGTTGAAAATTGCTGTAGTCTCTTAAATATACAATAGCACTATGTCTAAAAAAAAGTACATACCTTAATTAAAAAAAAAAAACACTTTATTGCTGAAGAGGGGCAAAAATCACTATAGAGAACACGATCTCTGTAGATTTGGAGTAAATTTTTTGAAGCAGATTTAACTAGATGCCCAATTTATTCACAAAGTAACTTAGTATTCCATCCATAGACTATCTAGCTTTGAGGTTTGTATATTCAGCGCAACCTCCTAAGTAAACTAGCTGTAAAACGTACTCCTCCGTGATTTCACTAAGGTGAATTTTGTCATGTGGTTTTATGACAGCTGCAAACCACAGGGTACTGGCCCCCAAGACCCCACAATGTTGTCAAGGCATCGGGAAGAACAGTTGTCTAGAGACGGTTAGAGGCCACACACTTGTCACCAAGGACTCCTGTTCATGGGTCATCATTATTATCCGATTCCCTAACCCGCCTTCCTCTCCAACAGCACAGGATTTCCTTGTGAAGGTGACAGCCTGGATGCTGCCTAATTAGGCTATGTGATTTCAAGAGTGAATGTACTTCGTTACATTATTTGGTGTAAGGTTCTAGGTCATATCTAAAAATACCCCAGCTTGAAAATTAACCCAATCTCTTGTCTGCTTTTGTTTGGAATCTTTTCACTTTCTAGAGAATAATGCGGAAAGCTAAATCCAGTATTACATAAGTGTTATTCGTTTGTTAAAACTATATTTTGTAAGTGAGAAAGTTATTCTTTGTGTACATTTAAAAATAATCCCTTTCAGTTATATAACTAGCCATCAGGACCAGTTTGTTTGTGGGCATGTGTTCATACACATTTTTTTTTATACCTGTCTTGCTTCAAAAAGGATAACAGATGGGTTACAGATACATATAATATAGCGCCAGAAAAATAAAATCTGAAGTTGGTGAAGGAATGGAAACAGAATTTAAGCCAGGAGTGAGTTAAGTATATAAAGCGCATCCTGTTTGATCTTATACACAGGCCGGAAGGCCACATATATGGCTCTAAGCTTTCTCACAACCAAGGGAAATACTGTTGGTTCCACAATTACGTATTCAGAAGACAAAAACAAAAGAGATAATAAACAAGGGAAATAACTGTATCAGGTGCTAAAACCAAGGAAAAATACTTTCCAGATCTTGCTAGAGAGATTATTATAGTCACAAACTCCATGGCACTTTCTTATAAATCCCTTAATGAAGGCCCAAAGTAATAGACCAAAGAGAATTCATTAAGGAAATCTGAGGAGAGGAAGGAGCCGTGGTGTGTTGAGCAAGGCCATTGTGGAGCGCATCCACAGAGCACCATGCGTGATCTGTGTCTGTGGCACGTCCTGCGGTGACACAGGGCACAGCTTTCACATCTGTATACACTGGGCTCAACATTGTGGGTCACAGGAGTTCTGTAACCTTCCCACGGCCCCACAGCTAGAACCTAAATGCTGAAACCTTGTAGAGGAGAAAAAGGAAAGAACCGTATAAGAAGAAATTTCTATGACCCTGCCAGAAAGAAAAGGCACCAACTTGGACCTCAGTAAATTTATTTACATAATGACGGGTAAGGGTGAGTGGCCAGGAAGTAGCACATTCCAGTGAGTCAACTCTGCCTACTGAGAATCTCCCAGGTCTTCCTGGATGAGGTCCCAAGACTGCCTCCCCAAACCACATTAAATGACTGTGGGAATAAAGGCCCCAAGCTCCAACTCCTGGTTGCATTTTTTTCCCAGCGAAACAAACTCCAGGCAAAGCCTCCTGCCTCCACTAGCCTACCCAGTACTCCTGTAACATGACAGGACAACACTTTACCATTTTTGTGTCTCCCAATGTTTAGGGAAGGCATGCCATGTGGGCATGGCTAGATTTCTTTGCTTGCTTCCTTGCTCTTTCCTTGGCATTAAGTCCCTCACCTTCAAAGTTTAGTGGGAAAGACCTGCGCGTAACAATGAAGTACTTTACACAGCAAATTATAGAGGTGAGCACAGGGTTGCTGTGGATTGACTTGGCCTGTAAGAACAAGCAAAGGTTAATGTAATTGAGCCAGGCAGAAGAGGAGGGAGGAGGAGGAGGAGGAGAAGGAAGAAGAAAGAAGAAGAAAAAAAATGACAGGAGAAAGGAGGATGTATGGTACCACAAAAACTTGATGTAGCTGAAGAAATTCATACTTTGTGGCACCAATGGAGGGGCCAGGCTGCCTGTATGGTCCAAATCCCAGCTCTGCCACTTACCAACTACATGACTTGAGCAAATTACTTAGGATCTGGAGCTTCAAATCCTAAGATGTTGAAGGGATAATAATAGCACCTACCTTTTAGGATTCTTATGACAATTAAATGGCTTAATATTTATAAAGCACTTAGAACAGTTCCTGACATGTACTATGTACTCAATGAAGAGTAGCTATTATTGTAACCCTGTTGTTCTCTTTCACTCATTCCCCACTTTTATTCCATTCTACACAGCCTTACAGATTCTGCCTCTAAAACAAATACCGAGACCATTCACTTCTGTCTCCATCTTGGGCCAAAGAACTACTATTTCTTTCCTGGATTCTTTTTTTTTTTTTCTTATTAAATCTTTATTGTTCAGATTACATTTGTTCCTCT